AAAAAAACCCAGCACACGGGGGTCGCGGCACAGTTGTGACGTGGTATAGTTGGATCAAGTATAATGATATCTGACAGTGATTAAAATCACTATCAAAAATAAACGCTTCGATGCAAATCTTTAGATAGTGTTTAATTTTAAAAAAATTGGTGTTTTATTCCAAAAGCTACTTGATCTGCTGGTTCCTTATTAATATCTCGATTAAGATAAAGTATGTCGAATGAAAAAGGGTTTATTAAAAAATATTATTTCTCATAAAAAAATTGTGTGGATCCATAAACTTTTCAATAAGTTATAGCATTATAAAGTTAAATATAATATAAATAATAAAATCGAGAATTTTCACACGAAAATAGCATTCGGTAGCCATTTTCGCCGTGAAGACAAGTCCAGAGGTCAAATTTTTTTTTTTCAAATTAAAGTATATTACATTAGCTTTAATTTAAGATATATATAAAAGTGTCAGACCTTCCGGAACATTTTCAAAAGTTATGTTGAAAAAGTAAATTTTTTGTGAAAAAGTTGTCATTTTAAATCCCCCCCTGTGGGCAGGTTAAGTGTCAGATTTACAAAAAAAATATACCAAATGATAAGTAAAGACATCAAACATCTATATAAAAAAGAATTATATTGATATGTTCATTTTTGAAAAAGTTAGAGGATTATTAAGTTAAAAATATAAAAAAAAATTATTTTACAAAAATCGTAATTTTTTATTAACTTTGATGTCAACTTTCACCACGAAGACAAGTCCAGAGGTCAAATTTTTTTTTTTCAAATTAAAGGATATTACATAAGCTTTAATTTAAGATATATATAAAAGTGTCAGACCTTCCGGAACATTTTCAAAAGTTAAGTTGAAAAAGTTAATTTTTTGTGAAAAAGTTGTCATTTTAAATCCCCCCCTGTGGGCAGATTAAGTGTCAGATTTACAAAAAAAATATACCAAATGATAAGTAAAGACATCAAGCATCTATATAAAAAAAAATTATATTGATATGTTCATTTTTGAAAAAGTTAGAGCATTATTAAGTTAAAAATATAAAAAAAAATTATTTTACAAAAATCGTAATTTTTTATTAACTTTGATGTCAACTTTCACCACGAAGACAAGTCCAGAGGTCAAATTTTTTTTTTTCAAATTAAAGTATATTACATTAGCTTTAATTTAAGATATATATAAAAGTGTCAGACCTTCCGGAACATTTTCAAAAGTTAAGTTGAAAAAGTTAATTTTTTGTGAAAAAGTTGTCATTTTAAATCCCCCCCTGTGGGCAGCAAAAAGGTCAAATATACAAAAAAAATATACCACATGATAAGTAAAGACATCAAGCATCTATAAAAAAAAAAATTATATTGATATGTTCATTTTTGAAAAAGTTACGGCAGTTTTTAGTAAAAAAAATTGAAAAAATTTCGAAAATTAGCGATTTTTAAATTTGTAATTTTTTTGGAGGTTTCCCCCATTTACGGGGAACGAGGGAAATTTTTTCAATTTTGAAGGGTAATGTCTTCGACTAGATACGATTTGTGATCTTTTGACGTATCGTTGAAAGAAATCCGTTCGGTGAGAGCTGAGAAAAAGTGGTAACACACAAAAAAAAAAAAACACATCATAGTAAAACCAATACCTTCTCAGCTTCGCATCGAAGCTAAAAGTTAATGGGTCAATAACAACTTTATAATTAGTATTTTTTGAGTTACAAACATTTTAATACATGGAATGGATTTATAGCATAGGTGAGTGAAGCTTGTATTTAGGGTCAATGCTAGATTTTGTGAGAATAGTAAACTTATAAGCAATCAGAAGAGATTGAACACCTTCTCTTACATATTTTATAGGAGTGCAAGGGAACATAGACTTATTTTTGTATATCAATGACAACTAGACATGTGTATCTATGAAGCAATAATGGACTACCATAAAAAAGTGTCAAACAGATATCAAGTTAGGTTTATACTATATTTAGTAGATAAAGAAAATATTGTTTTGAAAATTCTGATGTTTTTTAAAAATATTAAACAAATGTATATACAATGCGATAAAAAAAACTTTATTTGTCTTCTACGAATTTTCTTTGTTTTTCTGTCAAAAAATTGAAAAACTATGTGTGTAATAAATACAATTTATAGATGTATACAAGTGTAGTAATATGAGGTCATTGCTTGAACTGATGAATAATTATATTGCATACTCCACTTGCATTACCCACTATGTATTAAAATGCTTCTTACTCAATAAATATTTATTCTTAAGTTGTTATTGATCCATTGCAATTTTTTGTAAGAAAAATTCTAGAAGTTAGCTATTTTGAAAAAATTTCAAATAAAAAAAAATACAATGAAAAGTTATAAGTAGAGCCTGGATTACATATATTTAAAAAATTGTTAAGTTATTCTGAATACCAGTACAAATTTTTATTAATTGACTTAAAAATTAGTAATGTGTTGATATTATGGTTATGGTTTTAGGGAGGATTAGAGATGTTTATGCACTCCTAAGACAAAAAATATTTTTGCGCTATAATAATATTATCCTATGACAAATGTTGTATAAACTTAGGACTCTTCAAAGTGACTTAAACAAAATTTATAAATGCTTATAATTTCAGACTAGTCATAAAAACTCTCATTAAGATCTGTTCTATTCGGTAGTCATTTTAATTTGAATTTTATTTCTATTTCTTTTTATTATTATCATCATTAATAATAATTACTTTATTTGAAAAGCTTGAGAGTTCCATGCAAACATGGATAAATCCTCAAGCTTTTCAAATAATATGACAATCCATGAAAGTTTCAACACATTCATAATAATTACTTATTAATAAATAGGTATAGTAAGTAGCTTAAGACTCGCTTTCAATATTTTTAATAATAGAAATATAATTAAGATCTTACATCAGGCAATGGAGTCCATAATTTCACAACATTATCAATTCCACTTGTTGCTAACATAAATTCTGATGGATGTGCTTGTAAACAGTTAACAATTGAACTATCACCTTTTAAAACAAGTATATTGTTTTCTGTATTTTTATCCCAAACAAAAAATAAACCATCATCTGAACCAGCTACTATGTATTGACCTTGACTATAAAAAACTTTGTTTAATTATTTATGCTACATTAATATAAATAAAAAATTACCTCCCAAAGAAATTGGCTTCTTTAATATCAGTAGAAGTATTACAATGTCCATAATATCTATGATGATAATCTTTTGCATGCTTACGCCAGTGTTCCTCTAGCTTACTTTTCTGATTTTGTTCAAAATCATTTGGTAGTTCATTTTCTTCATTATTAAATGTTTCATTAGTATCTAAAATGAATATATACTTAAAGAAGTTTTCCAAAAAGAGGAATAATATAGAAGAATCTGATTGTATTTTAAATAATAATTCGTTATTTATTAAAATGAAATTTTATTTTATTTTAATTGAAATAAATTGAAGTTAGTTTTATTTGTAACAGAATAAAAAAAATTATAATTATAAATGTAGGGGTTAGAGAAAAAGTTGTGCAAGTCAATTTTGGTTAAAATGAGTTTGGCTTATAAATATTTCAAATTTAACACTAGCATTAACAACAACACTAAAATTATGCTATAATCTAATATTATTGAATTTTCAAAATTTACATTTATATTAATTCTTATAAAAATAATATTTCAAACGATTCTACTGAAAAATAATAAAAATTGACTTAAACTCAACCTAACCCATACAAAATATAATTAGTAACTGATGTATAATATAGTTTTTTGCTATCATCTAATGTCATATGTTGATTAATATAATAGTATACATTTTTTTAATTTATCTTACCACTTGAAGATAGCTGAGGTACATTTTTACATTTTTCATCAGCAGATATTATATCTGCACTAAGTGACTTGTAAGCTGGGCTACTTTTATATGAAGGGAATTTTAATTTAAACTGTTCTAAGTAAATTTTTGATTCTTTTAACTTCCCTAATTCAAATAAACATACTGTCATACGAAAAAATGCTTTCATATGATTGGGATCTAGTTTTAATGCTGTCACACAATCTCGTAAAGCCGCATAAAGATCACCTTCCCACTTTCTTTTTATATATGCAGCAGCTCTATTTGAATATAATACACTACATTCAAACATATCAATAGCTTGGTTGTACAGTCGTATTGCAGTTGTGTATTCTTTTTGATCAAACAAGTAATTAGCCTGTAAAAGCAAACATTTGTTGATTATTAATTTGTTCATATTATTAAATATAAAATAATTTTAAATTTAATAACTAATTTACATTAATATAAACTTTTGACAATTTTTCTAAGTATAATAAGTCATTTCTATAAAAATTTTAGGAGCTAATAAAAAATTTTTATATTTCAATGATATTTAATGAAAATCAACATTTTTGAAGTGCAATAAAAACCTCAATTTTATTATAATTATTAGTTATATTTCGGTGCACAACGGAATACACCCTCACACATAATTATTATAATAGATATTGATATTTCTTTATGTTTACTATCTCAGCTTTTAAAAAGAATGATTGATACAAATATTGCCAGTTAAAATAACTTGTAATAATTTTATTGTAAATAAAAAGTTAGATTTTGTGGATCAATATAGATATAAGTCCAATAAAATAATCATATAAATGACTTAAGCAATCTTTTAAGAATGTTTTATTATTGCAAGCTATTATTACAATTTAATTTAACTAGGGAGCAATAGATTGTTTTACCTCTAATTTTAGTTTTTCTACTTTTATTGGTAATATTGTTTGTAAAACTGGAGTTGGTTCATTAGGAATATCTATTGATGACCCTTCACCATTTTCACCTGTAAATTATACTCAAGTGTAAATATTTAATTTTCAAAAAATTATTTAACAATTAACTTACGTGTTTTATTTACAACTTTAGGGATGACACAAAAAGTACTTTCTACTTGATCTATTAAATTGAAAAGATAAATATGTTCTCCTCCTAAATTCACAAGAAGTTCACGACCATTAGGACTAAAATTTAAGTATGTGGTTCCAATATTTTGATATTTATGATGTGCTTCCACATCAGTTAAATAAATATGACCAGGAATAAAATATTGAACACTATTTTCTGAAATATTATTAGTCCTTGCAAATATATTATCCTCTACAGTATCAACAATACGAAAAATAGCTAAGGGGAGATCAACTGATTGATTTATAGGAGGACCTGTAGGTGCCATCTTTACAGAAGTCAATGAACGAATCATTCTACGGTCATACAAACGAACATATGGATCATTTGCCCCTACTGCAAGTTGTTCAGTTCTCATCTGATTAATAGCTAAACATTTTGCTTCAGCCATAGTTCCTAAATGAGTACGTAAAAATACCAAAACATTTTTGGTTTGTTCAGAACTACACTGGTGACTTATTCTCATATCATGTTGCCTATTTAAAATTAGATAAGGTTGATATAACTAAAAAAGAATGGATAAAATATTATCTTTTAACTAAACAAACCTTATGGTGCCATCTTCTGACGCACTCCAATAAACATTAGGGGTATCATTTGCAACAGTTATTCTTTTAACACGACTTCGAGCACAAGTACAAGCACTCAATTGTTTTCCAGTTGTTACATTGTAAGTATGAGAGCACCAATCACCCGCTCCTGTTGCCACAATATCATCATGACAGTTAGGTAAAAACTAAACATTTCAATAATGTAATTTTATTATTCTAATTAATTGAACAAATAAAAATATTAACCATAAAGTTGAAAGTTTTTAAGACAGGAACATATTTAAAGTAATTTCTTTTGCAACTTATAGTAAAACTAGTCAAATTGTATATAGTCATATACTTTGACGTATAAATAAGTTTTATGTTTTAATTTTGTCGCGTAAAATCTATATTTGCATTAGATTTTTATGTATTTGTGTCAAAAATATTTTTAGAGAAAATTAGTAACAACTCGAGTCTTTTTAACAATTAATAATAAGCAAATTTATAAAATTAATTTTATATTTAACAACAAACCTTAACGGTGAATATATTACCACGGTGTAAAGTTTTGATAGATAATCTTTTTCTTTGAAGAAAAGGATCCCATAATATAACTTGAAAGTCATCTGATGCTGATGCTAAAATACTAAATAATAAACCAAAATTTTAATGAACTTTTTAAAGCTATAAATAAAAATAAATTAACCAATAACCAAATTAATTAAAGTACCTTCCACATTCATTCCATTCTAAACAATTGACACATCCTCGATGTCCTTCAAGTTCAGTAAGAAGTCCAAGTTTAGTAATACATTTACTAGATATTTGACTTTTGAGTGCATACTTAGTACGAATATGATCCTGTAGTATGATATAAGATTAAAAATTGTATTTTGTTATAAATTGTTATCATTACATTAATTTCTCTCTCTCTTAATAACTGCATTATGTTTTTACGTTTCATTTTTAGTGACATCATTTATTTTGTTCCTCTAGCAGTTTAAAAAGTTGTGCTAATATAATTATGGAATTAGAAATATATTACTATCTGAAGGTTCATAAGAACTCTAAAAATCATGATACTTGATTACATCTTGTGTTATTTATTTTAATTACTATAAATAGAATAAAAATTATTGAATCAATATATTATTTAATGTACCTACAGACATTTTTTATTACTTGAATAGATTACTTTAAACTCATTTTAAAAAGCCTGAAGTACTTTAGTTTCAATAACACGTACTTCCACTAAAAACCTAAAATGTAAAATTATATTTTAAAAAGTCGAGTGATAATACTATAAACATTATATCAAACAATAGACTTAATAAATTGCATTTATTTTATAAGTAGACCTATAGTTTACCTTATTATATATCTATAATACTACAGGTGTTGTACTTTAAAATATAGATAATATAATAAGAATATCATATAATAATAACTATTTTATTACAAAATGTTACTATTATGAAATGTATCACGTATTGGTTTATCACATAAATATATATATATATATATATATATATCTTGATGATAAAAAATTAGTAATCGAGATAATAACACATTCAATAGGTATTTCGCGAGTATTAAATACAAATAAAATGACTGTTAAGTCATTAACTGTTTCTTAACAAACCCTTTTATTAAGATAGTTCATCTTACAACAAATTATGTAATTTTTATGCTATTGGTCATAATTTTTGAGTAGTATTAAGGAAATAAAATTTATAGCAAAATTGACCCAGTTATTAAGATATCAAAATTGAAAGAGTGTGAAACTACCTATTACAGATACACCACTTCTTATCACTAACATATGTCGGTTACCGCTCAGTTACCAATTAATTATATAGTATAACGCTTTTTCCTACCGCTAGATGTAGCCACATAATACTATGAAACATATACTTAAGCAATTCTGTGGTCGTACGTACAACAAAGAACTGACACTTGGTGGGAGCGCAAATTCGCTTAGTATCATATCTATATATTATTCTATACTATCTAAATAATCAAATTGCCTGAACTCTTCTCAGATCATCTTTAAAAATCCAAATTACTATCCACGTATAGTTAAAAGTATTGATAGCGATAGTGCACGGGTACGGATTGGTTCGTCGAGTTCAGTCATGCGGCACGTCCAGAGCCGCTAGCGTATATCATCGACGGTATCACTTTAACAACGGGAAGAATACTCAACATATCATTTGCGCCAAGTCGTCGTCGGTCGTGTGGCACTTGCTGGACTTTGCACCGTGGCGTATGGCACGCGGTATTGGTCAGTCAAACAAAAATTCTAATAATAGAACGACGACTGATAAAGGTGGCGGGTCGTGTCACTAAAAAAATTTGCTTATTAAATTTATACAGAGTAATTGACTAACTATGCCTCACGAATTATCTCTGAAAATATAAGAGTTATAAACAATTTTTTTTTTTTAATCATTATGGATCTTTGATGAGCTGTTTCACGAGAAAATTTAAATTTTTACCACCATCCCTTTTGCTTAAAAATAGTGTTAACTTCATATTTTCAAATGGCAACACTATTTTTTTTTTATACCATTAGATTTAGTTTAATAAAAAAAAATGTTTTGTAAAAAAAATATTTTATTTTATTAAATATTAAGCGCTCCACGGCTCTCTAAAGTTTAGGGTTTATTAAGAAAAAATCATTACAGACGAGAACGTTATGGATCGTAAATCGATAAGCGCTACCACTTCTTATCGGCACACTAAATAATAACGATACTATATTTACCCGACTACTGTTTTATTTGTTAAATTCCCTAAACTTTAAATAGTAATATCTCGCTTAGAATTTATTAAAATTGATTTTTTTTTTTTTTTGAGAAAATTTTTTTTTATTTATTATTAACAAGATTAATAAAAAAAAAACTGGGTTGCTATTTGAAAAACTAAAGTTGATATTGATTTAAGGGTTGAGGGATGAAGATTGAATCTTCATTTTTCTTGTCAAGTAGCTCAACAAAGATTTATAACAAATAAAATAATTACATATACGATATTACTAATATTTTTAAAGAAAATTCGTGAGGCATAGTTAGTCAATCACTCTGTATATATATAATATTGATGATACACACACATGTACGGGTACGAAAAACAATGAAATTTAATGTACGGTTCTCACGTCAGTACACTAAAGTATGTCATGTCGGTGTACGAGATTCATTTTTTCACTTTATGAGTTGGAAAAAAATTAAAAATTTTTATAATTTTTATCTCATTTATATTTAATTACTTCAATGAATATCAAGGACCCCATCACTATAGTTTCTCCTTATGAGAAGATATTTCTAAAAAGTCGAAATTCAGCACAGAAGACGAAATAACATTTGCATTTTTAAATTAATTAATTTTAAAATAGGTTTTTTGCTGGCTCTTGTGCTACATTTATAGTAACAATTGCATATTAGCTTCGATGCGAAGCTGGAAGGTATTGGTTTTACTATGATATGTTTTTTTTTTTTTTGTGTCTGTTACCACTTTTTCTTAGCTCTCACCAAACCGATTTTTTTCATTGATACGACAAAAGATCACAAATCGTATCTAGTCAAAGATGTTACCCTCAAAAATTGAAAAAATTTCCAAAATCTCCAAAAAATTTACAAATTTAAAAATCGATAATTTTCGAAATTTTTTCAATTTTTTTTACTTAAAACTGCCATAACATTTGTAAAAATAACCAAATCAATATATATATATTTTTATAAATGCATAATGTTCTTACCTATTATTTGGTATATTTTTTTATAAATCTGACCCTTTACCTGACCACAGGGAGGATTTAAAATGACAATTTTTTCAACTTAAATTTTGAAAATGTTTCGGAAAGTCTGACACTTTTATGTATATATTAAATTAAAGTTAATGTAATATACTTTATCATGTATATTACATCTTATTATATAATAGAACAAGGAAAAAAATGCTTTTCTGGGAAAATTACTTAGCGTGCTCGGATTTTCAAAATTTTTTTTTTCAACGAAAGTACTCAGTTACCAGACTACGGGAAAATTATTGGCGAAGGTCGGAAAATTTTTGCCGCTCTCCCGCGAGCGTTTTAAAATTTCAACCGTTTTTGAGAAAAACGCTCGCTGACGCCAGCGTTTTACGACTTAATGTTTAAAATTTTCACCAGACCCGCCCAATGACATTCCTGAGATATCATAAAAAAATCAATTCAATTCGTTCAATTTTCACCGTTTTAAGAGCTTTTTTTTTTTCATGCGGTCGAGACGCCAGGGCGCGCCGCCCGAAATTCTTGCGACACTTTATGATATGAAAACGATTTTTTTTACGATTCGCAATCATACCACGGCGTTCTGTACGTGCGGAGGAAGCGCCAAAAATCGGAAAATTCCAGATCCGACAAAAACTCTGGCCGCTAAGAGCGTTTGAAATTCATCAAATTTTAACGGAAAATGACGATTTTACGACTTAAGGTTTGAAATTTTCACCGTTTTAAGAGCTTTTTTTTTTTTTTCTAAGTCCACGCACATGGTTTTAATGTGCGCATTGATTCATTTCTGCTCATACGTTTATTATGAACCGTAATTATATGGTGTAATATGTATTATTATTAGGACACTATTTTGCATTTGTACTATATTTTATCAAGGAATAGTATATGTTATGTATAAATTTCAAGTTATAATTATATAAGTTTTTACTTTCATTATCAGAACAGTACATTATTAATAATCTTTTTTTTCTCATATATGATTTATCTATCATCTATGATAACTGCTGTTCAACGTTAAATCGCAATTACCAATATTTTTATCAAAATTAAATTTTTTACAATGTGCCATGTATAATAACCTGCTAAATTTTTTTTTAATTATTCTATAATATAAACACAATTATTATAATTAGATTATTAATAATTTTTGTGTATAATAGGGATGTATTTAAGAGAGATATGGGCCCTCCTTGAACCAGTGCTATCAATATTTTTTAGGCAACTTCTAATATATAAGGACCTAATGTCCTTTTTTTCATCATTACTTTAATTTTAGCAAAAAAGTTTCTATATCATGTTTAACAAAGTCAAAAATATTAAATACTCTCCTAAAATAATTTTTGAATAAGCCTAAAGGGAATACTTCATTAACGTACGTCAACCTTATACCCAATACATTTTACTATATTCTCTTTTTGAATTTTCCTGATTTTAATAATAATATTTTTATATATACAGTGGACGCCGCTTATTGGACTCACGGTTAATTGACTCAAAACGCCTAGTCCCTATTTACACATATACTAACACACAGCAAAAAATTCGTATATTCGACTCACACACCGGTTAATAGGGTCATTTGAAAATTAGATAAATAAAAATAATGTGTACATACATTGAACAAACGTGCTATAAATACGTTATAAGTAGGTCCTAGTAAAATTGCTTTTATCGTGGAGATAAAATAAATTACCTTTTCACGATAAACGAAGCAGTCTTTAATGTCAATTAGTACGACAGGTAGTGTATGAATAGACGTCGTCGTGTACAGTGTGTTGTTTGTGTTTACGTTCTCTGTAAAAATTTTCATTTTTCGTGTTACAATGAACAAACGACGTGATTTGAGTGTAGAAGAAAAATTAGATGTTCTTAAAAAATATGACGAGCTTCCGCAAATGAGCCAGCGACAAGCAGCATGTAAGTTAAACGTGTCTCAAAGTTTACTAGGTAGGATGCTAAAAAGTCGACAGAAAATCGAAAATGCATCATTAGCAAATGTGAATTCAAACCGGAAAAGAAAAAGAGTCGGTAAAGAAGAAGAAGTTGAAGACGCTTTGAAACAATGGTTCACAAAAGTCAGAGAAAAAGATGCCCGAGTTACAGGACCACTGTTGCGTCAAAAAGCTGAGGAACTCGCGAAAAAAATGGACAAAAATAATTTTGTAGCAACAGAAGGTTGGTTTTACCGATGGAAGAAACGTGAAAACATTTCGTTTGTTAAGCCACATGGAGAACAGGGAGAAACTGCTTGTGATTGGTAAAAGTAAAAATCCCCGGTGTTAAAAATCTACCGGTCGACTATTCTGCAAATAATAATGCATGGATGACAAAAGAAATTTTCACCGAATGGTTGACCAAGTGGGACAATGAACTTAGTTTCATTAGTGTTTTATTGACATTTATGACTACTGTCATTATTATTTATTTTGTTATTTAACTTTGTATAATATTACAAATATACATATTATATAGTCTTCGTAGGATTTTAATTTTCGTCTCGTCGTTACCTCTTATATAATATGAATATATATATATATATATATATAAATATTAGTGGACGCCGTTTATTAAACTCATTCGGTTAATGGACTCAAATGATCAGGTCCCAAAGTGAGTCCAATAAGCGGCGTCCACTGTACTTTATTGCACTGATTCTGATGTAATATTTTTTCAGAAAAACACTTATCGTGCTCTGCGTAGCCGGGTACCCCTACCGGAATCAGTGGCCTACTTATGATGACGGCCCGAAGGTGCGTAAGGCTCGAAGGGCTCCGGGTCTGGGTCGGAGCCCCAGCTAGGCGGAGCCTAGTAATAAATAATATTACATATTATGTTTATTATAATTTAATTGATAATTTAAATTTAATTATATTAATAGTGGGTAACTTCAAATACCATTTTGCATTGAATTGTCCAAAATAGAAATGCCACCGGGGAAACATCTTAGAATCGTCAGTCGAATTTCCCTTGGTGATATATATTTGTCTGGAACGTTTCTCAGAAGCGTATCTTGTCGTTAAAGTAGTACTAGTGTAAGTGATTAAGATAAAGATTATTCGTCACCTGCATATTTGGCGGGAACGTTTTTTTTTATTGTGAATTTAAAATAAGGCTTTCTATATATTAAATTATAGTTAAAGGGGATTGGTTTTTAAACAATATTATCGATTCTATTGCCGAAAAATATCGATTGACAGCTCAAAAATGCTAATAGCTGATAAATTGAAATCATTAGATAATGATTTATGTTCGTCAAACACTAGTTTATCTAGTTTATTTCACAAACACTAGTAAATCTCTTTTCAATTGTAATTTCAAATTATTAAAAAAGAGGTACATGATAAAATTGAAAATAGTGATCAACATGATCTAAATAAGTCTTATTATGATGAGATTTATTTGAAAAATGTATTCATTGTAAATTACTTCCATTATGAATGTTTAAGCTGATAACGGTGCTAATGTAACAGTGAGTCAAAGTAATGCAACAGTAGAGTCACATTTCAAAACGGTTAAAGAAAAGAAACACTAAATCAAAATGCGGGCGTTTGGCTGATTTGAATAGAGCACTTGTATTGAACTTAGTCAAATAACAAAAATATTTAATATAATATTTCTCCTGAAATTATAGATTGTCAAAAAATTTATCTCAATTATAAATGAGCGTTTTAAAGAAATTGTAAGTGATAATAAAAATTCAAATTCAGACAATACATTTCACAAAATAGATGAGAGGAAATGTTCATTGATAGATTATAAAATAGAAACTGAAAATAGACTTATCAATTCTATTTCAACTCCAGGTAATCACAAAACCCCATATCATAGTGTTGTAAGAAATGATCTATGTATATAGTAACAAATTATCAAAAAATTTGGAATATTACAGAATGGTAGTTGACATTGAAGGTAAAGTTGAAGCACTGAAAAAAAGCAGAAACAAAAAATTCAACTTTAGAGTTGGAACTTATCATATAATCCCTAAAACAGTGTATACTTAACAAATATTAGAAATAGATGATTTCATATGTCTAGATAATGACTCTTATTTCTCTTACTTTGTAATTGACATATGTTTGGCCATTAACGCTAAGAATAAACAACCAATGTCAAAGGTATTATACTACAATGAAGTGTTAGAAATTTTAAGTAGAACAGATTTAAATGAAACCTTGAATGAAAAATTAAACTTTGCAGAAAATTGTACATTCCTTATGCCGTGGCATACAGTTATATCTGTATGTTACCATTGGATTATTGCAGTAATTGACTTGAAGAAAAAGGTAGGTTATATTATAGATCCGATGTTCCCCACAAAATTATCGATATCATTTGATGCTATTCAAAAAATTGTTATATGCAATGAAAAAACATTGTACCTAAAATGGTAATGGCTTTCCTGACCTAAATTTTATTCAATATCCATATAAAAACGTACCAACACAAGTAGATGGTTATAACTGTGTTGTTTTTATTATATATTATGCTATTACTATACTCAATAAGTCTAAATTTAAAAAAAATTTTGACCCTGATATTCACAGGAATGATTTAAAACACTTCTTGTTAGAAAATTCAGGTGATATGACAAACATTTGTCTATATTGTCAAAGACATGAAGATAGACACAAAGGCAAGTGTATCGAATGGGTGTCGTATACTACATATCGCTGGATCGTTATTGACTGTATAAGTGAAACATATAGGCTAAACGATTACAGGTAAAATGACTTTTATTGTATTTTATGTGACGAGACAAAAGATAGAACAAAAATTATTCAGTGGTAAGTAATAAAATTAATAACAGTATTTTACACAGTTTAAAAAAAACATAAAAGAACTACTCAACGATGATAAAATGATAATTCCTGTGCATTGTTATACATAATTATTTATATTTTTGTAATGTAAAATTGATCAATGCTTTTAAGGACCTCAATCGTCTCATGATATAATTTAGATAGTATATGATATAAAATTAAGCGATTGTTATGATAATCTACCTTTAATTACAAGTATAGGTATGAGTATATAGATGGAATGGTCTATGCATTTAGAACAGTATTTTTAAATTAAAAGTATATAATTAAAATATCATTGATTATTTCTAGGTGGTCGAGAAATCCTTTGTATTTACACTCATTGTAACCACACCTATTATAAATTACTAACAAATCTTATGATAGACAGTCCGCAGTTTGATAATTCAAAATAATAAATGGTTATTAAATATTTAGAAAATTAAGTGTTCAAATTAGTTAGTAGCATTGAGTGTTAAATATAATTAAAAGGTGAGTTATAACGAATAATATCTAAAGTAAATCAGCTTTAATTTGGTATATAATTATTGCCTGGACTCGTCTCGGAACTTTGTCAAAAGTACAAAAAACCGAGCGCAGGTCGGAGAATATATATAGTTTTATTACCGCAGATATTGCCCAGGAATTTCTCTCATACGGGTTACTTGAACACTCGAGTACCATTTTTGACTTATGCCATACAATAGTAAATTTTATAAACTTTTACTTTGAATATAATTTTTAATTGAATACCCTACATAACTTTGTCAAAAGTACTCTATATTAAAACATATTTTTTTAACCAAGTGGCGCCCTCTAGTGGTTTATATCCTTTTTGTAACTGATTAGGAATTGCTAACTTCACAGTTTTGAAATTGTAGCTTCACGTTGAGTCATTTTTTGCTAAATCTCAATAAATATGTATTTTAATCGTTATTTAAGAAAAACTAGCTCAAAATTACATTAAAAATATTTTCTACCAAACACTTAAAGTTATGAATTATAATATAATATTAACTTGATTATTAAACATGAAAACATATTGTATAATATTTCTATAGAAATGTAATACATTTATTTGAACTGGAATGTACATTACATTACATACATTACAATTATGAGTAAAGAAAAGTTTTCAGGTACACAACTGCACAATTTAATTTAAAAAATGTTGGCCTAAACTTTAAGCTATCAATTTACTAGAAACATTTAAATAACTTTTGATAATATTAGTTCAACATAGAATTTTAGGTCTCTATGTGTTACAAATTTTCTAAAATCTTGCATCCTTATTTTATCTATAGTATCTTCTTATAAATCAATATCTCCTAATATTTGATTGATAGTTAATTTTGTGATTTTAAGTATTGTATCAAACAAAAAAAAAAACAAATTTTATAGCAAATATTTTATTTTATTTTTTACTTTTATTTAATTTTTCCACATAATGTTTTTAGGCACATTTATAAAAAGAAAAATTAAATATAAAACTTCATATTTTCAATTTTAGATAGTGTATCTGTGTTCATTGAACTTCTTGAAGTATCAATACATTGTATACTTTATGCAAGAAAAATATACCCTGAAGGTATATTTGAATTAAAAAAAAAGTATAATGTTCCTGTACACGTAAGTTATAATATCACATGTTAAAAATCATAGTATAATTCCTAACTATCATAAGCTATCTTGGATAGGTACAGCCCATTACTGTGCTTATTTATATGTCGGCCACAATACATGTCCACTCTATGTATTAATATGCTTGTAACTTAATAAGTACTTGTCTAAAATTTTTTACTGATCCATCAAAAGTTTATTGCAAAAAAAATCCTAAAAAGTGGCTATGAACAATATAAAGTTTTTCTCTAATAATTTTATCAAAAATTTCAACTATGTTAATTATTAAAAAAAAATAATAGAAGTGTAAATAGGTACAAATATGCTATTGAGACAATGTGATATTCAATTTCCACCAAACTAATTATAAAAATTATAATATTTGAGGTGGCTAAACCTAATATACAACTAAATAATGTATATACTAAATGTGTTAAATATTTAGGTTGCACTTTATGAAATAGTTTTTCTTCAGTTAGCCCTAAAAAATTGATTAAAATTTTTAAACATTGCAAATTTGATTTTTTAGATATCTATTTATCCAGAGTTAAATAATTATATTAATAGTACATTAAATGCTGTGAAAAATTTATTAAAGGTAAAAAAATTACGTCAAGTTGATATATGCTTTTATAATAGATTTGGAAAAGCCATTGAACGATTTGTGATCAATATTCATAAAATAGAACTTGAACTAGATTTTTCAGATATACAGTGAGTAAATCAAAATTTTTTAAGTACTTGAATTAAAATAAGTTATTTTATTTTATAGAAATCTTAGAGATCCATATTTAGTTAAATTAGAACAAATGTTGAGGGCACTATGCTTAAAATTAACTGTCTGTGATTCCATGTTAAATCCATTGCCTAGTGAATGTACATTTTTAATTCACGTTCATACAACTGAAACAGCTTCAATTGAAGTTCAAAAACATACAGAAGTACTGAAATGTTTGCCATTTTATTTTTTTTATTTAATTGTTAATTTGTTTAGTGCCTATTGATTTATTTTCTAATAACTAATAATAATTTTATTATATTTCTAGGGTTTCCCTTTAATACCTAGTGAAGATAAATTAACACAGTTAAATTCACCATCAATTATTCCAATGCGTTCAATAGAATGTGAATATTTAAAGTTGGAAATTTATGTAGAAGAAGGCATTAAAGATGAGGACCCAGATTTGTTTACACCTAGTCCATTACTTTAATATAATTTTTTATAAATAAAAATCATTATGATGTATTTAATATTTGTATATATAGAATATACTTGGTATATACTACAATTAGGTCCAAAACTCAAAACTATTTTTAATGATGGTGATAATGTTGAATACATATCTTGCTGATTTAGCTCATCAGATTCTCATGATAACAAAAACAATGAGCAAAACACTCATAAAAGTTGCTATCACATTCAATCTATAAATGAAAAAATGTATAAACTTTAATAATTTTGTCAGTTTATTAGGTTACATCAAATAGTAACGTAATAATTGGTGGATAATATGGATAAAAAACAAAATTAAAATCACCCAAAAAATTATTTACATAGTTCTTTTTTTTGTTTGGGGTGAAAACTTTTCTTATGTTTATCCCCTCCAGAATAAAACCATAAATACACCACTGATACCAAAGTGTTTTTTAAAGACTACTGAAAAGTTTTCCTGAAATTGTTATCAACCTATTAAAGTTTTTTGTAAAAAAAAGGGTATCTTCTAGAGTTTTTTTGGTCCTTTGTTAACATTTGTGAGAACATTTTGTCTCACAGCCAAGCCTTTAATCATCTCTAACCAACATTTGATCCATCCAGTTAAGATCTTCCTCCCAAACTTTCTACATCTTTTTTTACTTTTTATTGATCGTATTAGATATTTATATAACTGATTGTTCATTTTACCTGACAGGGCTTGTAAACTCAGTAACTTCATTAGCCTATAGTAACATTTATTCTCAAATGAATTCTTGCCGCTATCTCATTTGTTATATCATTATGTTCAGTTAGAATAATACCAAGGTATTTAAACACTTCCCAAGCGTAAATATTTGTACAAGGTTAGTATTAACTAGCTAATTGAAAGCTGGTTAGCCCATACTAGTTGTTATTTTGTTTATGTACTGAAACAGTACTGGCAGCTGTTGTAAGGACAATGCTGATTTAATACCGGTAGAGTACTTGCACTACTAAACCTCCAGTTCTGGTTTACCCTGGCTCTTCGAACTTGTGCCAAACATTGGTAGAATTCTGGCACAATACTACGAATTTTCACTACAAAAAAATAGCAATGATGGAAATTAATTAATTAAAAAGTTAATTTTTTTTTTAACTTTTCAACTAGATAATTATTTTTCAAATAAACTTTTTAACTTAATTAATTTAATTTTCTGTTGAAATTACTTGTATTTTTTCAGATAATTAGTTATAATAATAGTTTAAACTAAATTTAAAATTTTATAAAAATGTATGTCTTTATACGATGGGTACATGGTTAAATTTAAAAAAAGTCGCATTTTCCCTATCCCAAATATTTTATTATATAATAGAACAAGGAAAAATACTTTTTCTGAGAAAATTACTTGACGTGCTCGGATTTTCAAAATTTCTATTTTCAAACAAAAGTACTCGGTTACCAGATTCCAGGAAAATTATTGGCAAAAATCGGAATATTTTTGCCGCTCCGTTTTACGAGCTTTTTTTTTTTTAAGTCCACGCGCATGATTTTAATATGGGCATTTACTCATTTCTGCGCATATGTTTATTCTGAACCTTAATTTGTAAAGTATAGATTATATGACGATTTAATTTTCTTTTCAATTCATAATTAATATATAATGTTACTAATATCGTATGTTATTGTTATGAACTGATTGTATTAGTTACCATTTTTTTTTTTTAATATGTTTTTTATTTTTATATATTATATTTAGTTTATTAAGCATACTTTTATTTAGATACTTCCTGTCAATTTCTTTTAAATATGTTCATAATACAAATTTATTGATATATTTAATCATGTTTATTGTTATATATATCTTTTGTATATATAACTTTTACTTTATAGTGAGCTTACTGTATAGTTGTACTCAGTGCTCGAATTGGCCAAAAATAAGTAGGGGAGCTCAACTTAACAATTTGAAAACTGCGTCCCTAGCATTTTGAAGACTCATTACTTTATTTAGTATTTATTAATAAATCATATTTCATTATCATACTAATATTTAAAAAAAAAAAAAAGAGGTGGTATTGTCCATCGTCCTCCCGTCCCAATAAAAAAAAGTAGTTAGGGTGCGCAAAAAAATTTAAAATAAAGTAGAGGAGCTACGTCCCCATGCGCACCCCCCCAATTCGAGCACTGGTAATATATCGTGGAGGAGTAATAATGCNTCCACCCCAATTCGAGCACTGGTTGTACTATTTTCACTTTGAACTTTTTTTTATGTCCACACAGTTTAATTTAGGACACTACTTACATTTAGACATAGCACTATATTTTATCAAGGAATGTTACACATAAATTTCAAGATGGTATAATTATATAAGTATGTACATTCATTATCAGAACAGTACAGTATTAATAATCTTATTTTTCTCATATGTAATGAATGAATCTATGAGTTTATTGTCAAAATTGGGATACATCTATGATAGATGTATCCATATGGGATACATAACTCCATATGGACACCATTGTCCAACGTCAAATCACAGTTACCATTTTTTACATAGACCCACGTTTAATAACCTGCCGATTTTTTTTTCTAATTATTTAATTTTTTTTTGTAATGTTTGTGATTTTTAACTGATTTATTTTGAATAACTAGTTTTAAAGATAAAACAGTGCAATTATCACCAAAATGTACAAAACGAATAAAAAAATTTTTTGTTATCTTTAATATTATTTTCCTATTCAATTTTAATAGTAAAAATCGATTCTAAGCTTTTTTCTTGTATCACCGACCAATAAAAAATGTTTTAAGCGATATTAACCGAAAAATTAATTTTAAATAAAATAAACTTTTTTACTAGTTCAGTTAAAAAAAGTTTTAACTTTGCTAGTTAAATTTATAATTTGGTAACTTTTAACTGATAATTTATCAACATAGTTCATACTTAACTTGAGTTAATTATTTCCATTAACTTGTCCATCTTTGAAAAATGGCACTATAAAACCATTATTAGCAGCTATTATAATGAACATTAACTTTAAAATATCATCTAAAGTAATCGAAAATTTGTCTTCACTTATTCCACATCGACGTCAAAAGATGTGCAAATATTATATAATAACAGAAAATTTCCAGACATGACCTAAAAGACTTATCAATAGCTATTAGTTATTTATTTATTTAAATTAATTTAGTTTTGTTTTTCATTTTAATAATAAATTAAATAAACTAATATATATATATATAAATATTATAAAACAAATATAATTAATTTTTATAAACTGACAAAGCGATATATCCTGTCTTCTCAAAACCATATAATCCATTTTTTGTTCATTCACCTGTTGTCCTACTTTTAATACCGCTTTATATAATTTACTTAATAATAAGTTCAATCTAATTTTGAGATAATACTAATAGCACTATATCATCTGCTATATAGGTCCATATAGCTAATGGATCTATCGCCATGTCCTACAGCCCAGTACCTTGTGGTTATATATAGAATCGCAAGAAGAATGGAATGAAGGAGAGATAAATATATTTTTCTAATCATTGTGTCCAGAATCAAGTTAAACAAAATAGGTGATAATAAATCGCCTAGTCATAATAATGAATTTACTGTAAACGGTTCAACTTTTGCATTTTCTACTTGTATTCTTGTCAAAATTTCTATGACACTAATTGATATTAGATTAATCAGTTTATTTGGGATGTGAAATTTCTTCACAATATTCAGTAGGCTCTTCATATGAATTTTATCATGCGTTTTTTAAAGTTCACAAATAGTGTATAATGTTTCGCGCTGATTTTAAATCTACAATTAGATTTTTTCTATCCACTCTACTTTTTGATTACTAAATGGTAAAAACCGAGTATTACAATGATTTATTTTTATATTAATTAAAAAAAAAAAGTGATTTTAACGAAGTGTTGAGCTTTTCTCATAAATTTACTTTAAAATTTAATTTATACAAGGTCCTGAACACAATTTAAATAATATGACTTTTATAAAACATTAAACTTAATGATATCACTTTTAAACTTGCAAATTGAGCTAAAATGATTAGTCTTTAAAAGTTTAAACATTTTTAACTTTGATAAAAATCAAATTTAAAGAACCAAAAAAATAGGATTAACATAACAATTTGAACAGAAATTTTGCATATTATTTTTAACATATTAAAAATCAAAATCAATATTAATTTGAAAACATTTTTTTTTAAATTAATTTTGCTATAAGTAAATACTTATTTTTCTACTTATTAATAATTTTAAAATAAGAGGTAATAGAAAAAAATTATATTCTGAAAAAATTTATGTAAAGCTCTTTAATTTTTATACAAGTTTTCCATAAAAGTAAATATACTTAAAATTAAGTATTATATTATTAAAAAAATTGTGAAGTTTTTACTTTGACTGCCAATTTTTCATAGTAGATATTCGCTGAAAAATTCTTTTTATCTTGTATAGAATATTTTAAACGCTTTAATTTGATGTAAATTTGAAAAATGCTGTCTTTCCGGAACATATTCAAAAATTGTGTTGAAAAAAAATAATTAGACATATCAGAGTGGTTGTTTCAAACCCTTGTTGTACTTAGGTTTTTTATTAGATTATTATAAAAGCATATCCAGTGAAAGAATATTTTATCTAGGATACTCTATTAAAACTCATTAGGATAAAATTTTTTAAAAGGAAGTTAAAAAAAACGCATAGTAATACAAGATCAATGACTTTTTAGCTTTGCATCAAAACTAAAAAATTAAAGAAAAAGATGTTAAGAAATTTACTCAATTAAGCGTATTATAAAAATTGATTATACTTGGAAAAATCCATATTCAAATTAAGGTGAAACCCAAAATCATTTTTTTATAAATAATTTATAAAGTGACACGTTATCAAAAAATTTGGAATACTAAAGACTGGTAGTAAACTAGAAGTCAAAAAATTCTTAGTAATTAGATATTTTAAGTAATTTTTTAATTGATAAGGTGGACATATTTTCAATATTTAATCATAATATCTTAAAGTAAATACGAGTTGGGATCATTTGACGTATTGTTGAAAAAAATTGTTAAAGAACTTTGACCAGTGACGGTCAAATAATTTTCAGTTCTGTGTACGCTCGTCGCCATTGACTCATTCACTTAGATTACTAGTCAACATATCTTAAGATCCAGTCAGGATAATAATTATACATAATATTTATATTGGAATAAACTTGTTATGGTTAATAGAGTTTATAATTTGTTGGTCAATAAACCGCCAATAGCCCTTCTGGTGGGATATAAATGATATAGGACCAGTGTAGCTTTGTTTAAGAAAACATAGCAAACTGTTAGGACCCTAGCGGGAAAACACATGTAGTCTGATGGAGGCGGCGTGTTCTGTACTTTACAGAATACACCTGCCCCTAATTGTACCGAGCACTCTTAACCGATATAGAACGAATAATTTATTTTGATCACTTAAATTTAGTACCAATTGCTGTTTGGCTAATATAATTGTTTTATTTTTGGAACAGCATATTAGGATCCTAGCGGGAAGTTCGTTGCAGTTTAATTCAAAAGAACATAATTAATATCAAAAATTAATTTTACAAATTTTGAAGATTAAATTTGAAGTCTTGGTGGTTATCTATGTGAGTAAATTCAATGAAGTATTATTTTATAATAAATTAAAGGTTTGAAATAGGCTTATTTACTGTATTTACCTTTAACGTCCTCTCTGGAAAGCTATGCTTGTGTGTGTTAGAGAGGACGAGAAAATCTACATTATTCACTACAACCAAATCGAACTCGGTACCTACACATCGAGGCATGACGTTTTCCCGACTGAATTTAGTAGGCCATCAATATAAATATGTAACTCACATATATGGCTAATATAAATATACATAGTTTAGTTTTATGGGAGCATAGCTACCACAATGTTTTTTATCTTAAAGAAAATATAATTTTTATCAGGTTTTTCATCCTCTCCCTTGGCAAAATCATTTGACCGTCACTGGATTGTATCGTAAAGTTAAAAACTGCATCCCATAAAGAATTAAAAGATAGTTTTAGTCTAAAGAAACTCATCCGACGGTTGTAATTCAACAATTAGATATAATGATTTAACAAACTATGATTGTAGGGTTTATTACAATTGGTTAAAATAGTAGCAACCCGAATCCATTATACATATTTTATAGTGTGATATTAGTATCACAAGTATTTGTATATCATTTATATTTTACCACATGAATGTTTTTATTATGAAAAGTGCTGTTATTATAAGATAATTACTTCCTGTGGTGTAAATATATTAAAATGTTTTGTTTTTGAGATCGTTCACCTTATAAATTTTACCAAAAAAATGTTGAAATAGTTTACTTTTATTGTTTAAGGTTTATTAACTTAAAAATATATACTTAGTTGAAGTATACATTAAATTGTCATTTTCGTTTTTTATTATACTTAGAGTAAGATCCTATTATGTGAAAAATAGTTGAGAAACTCTTGTAAGTAAGAACAAATAGTGACTTCTATGTCAAAATGTATAAATTTAGTGTAGTGTGTATTATTTCTCCCTAATTTATTATACAATTATTTATATTCAATATTTTTTTTACAAAATAATTTGTTCTAATTCAAATTCCCTGTAACATTTAAAAAGCTATTGGTTTTAATTAATTTCTAACTAATTCTTGTTACCATTTCAATTGTTACTTTTTTGTTAAATTAAAATTTATAGTTTTGAAAATAAGTATTATATAATAAAACTTAGTTATTCAATCCAATTAAATTTTTATTTCAGGAAGAATGTCTTATGAGATAAAACCATTAATAAGTAATGTTTTGGATTTATTGATGCAACAGCATGTTGTTATATCGGGTTTGTATATCCTAAAAATATTTTATCATAATATTAATAATTGTATTATATCATATTTAATTAAATAGAACTTTAATTGAATGCCATTTATTTAATTAAACATAATACTATGTTATAATCAGAACCATGAATCCGAATTAATCCTATATCTAAAACTGTATTAATACCCTAATAAAAAACGTGATATCGGAATAACTGTATAATTAATGTAAACATTATGCTTTTGAGTTTTATTTTCTATCCATATTCCATTTTTTTTTATTTAAAAGCACAAAATTGATTTATTTGAACTTATTTTTTTATCGATCTTTTTTGACACTTAAGGTAAAAAAATTTTTTTAGGTGGAAAAGTACAAGAAGGTTATCCAATATTAACGTTTCCAGATACTGGTAATTTTATTGAATTATCTGCAGAAAGTTATGAAAAATTAATATCTTACATTACCTCTGTACCTTCGTATGTATTCATATATCTTTGGTTATTTATTTTTTTTCTATTATTTTAATTAAAAGATTTATGTTTTTATTAGACTACAAGAAGTTGATTTAGGTTTTGTAGCTGTTGTTGACCGCAGAAATGACAAATGGAGTTCAGTTAGATGTGTTCTTTTGCAACTAGCTGTAAGTATAATCTTTCATAATGTTTAAATTAGTTGTACAATTTATGTTTTATTGAAAATGTAACTAAAATTTAAATGTTAAAATTAATGGAGAATAATAAACAATAAGTTTATAAAAACAAATTTTAAAAATGAATTCTTCATGAAATTTTTTAACAAATTTCAAATCTGACATCAGTTTTTTACACCAAATCTCTAGTTTTTGTGATAATTGCCAATTAGTAATTAAGCAATAATTATAATTTAATAAACCTGTGTTTAGTTAGTTACACCAATAATTTAATTATCTGTATAATTACTTCATTAAAAGGAATAAAAAAAAAGTTATAAAGTTATATTCTTGTACCGTTGATAATAATATTTTAGTATTTTTTTTTACTATGAGTCATTTTTCTTTTTCATGAAGAAAATAAGTGGTTTTTCATTTTTTTTTTTTACTAAAAAAGTTTCTATAAATGGATATCTGAAGTGTATCTTAAAATAAAGTCTGTGTAAACTTATAGAATTAGTAATTTTTTGTATATAATATTTCTATATCTTACAAGGGTAAAATAAAACTTAAATAGAAAAAACTTCTTATTTTAGTTGTTAAATTTATTTGTAAAGCAAAGTTTTCTAATGGTTTGGATGGTTAGTAAATAAAAAAATATGACTAGATATCCGTCATGTGCTTGCACATAAATTAGTATGCCAATAAGTAAATTAAATATTGACATAAATATTATGTTAATTTTATTTTATCAAGTTAAATTTTTACAAAAAATAATTTAATAAAGTTAGTGAAGTAAAAACAATAAAATTGAATATAAAAAGTTCTAAGAACAAAAATAGTGAGTATGAAATAGTTTTGCTAACACTAACAAAAATTCAATTTGTAGTTACTGGGTGAGTAAAAATCGGCCCAAGGGTAAAAACTTTTCAAAATCATCAAATGAAAAATGGTTTGTGACTGAGTTATATTACTTAGATACTTAAGATATACAAATATTTTAGAACTACTATTGTTCTCGATTACTGATAAATATTTATAAAAAAAATTTTATTTTAAGAGTATTATATAATGTACATTATATTTAACTGCATGGGAGATCACAAAGTAGTCAGTAGTTTATTTGTTCATAAAGTTTTAGAGAACATAATTAATTTTGAAAAAAAATTATCATAAAAGGAATGGACAAACCAGAAGTAGAAACAAAAAGAAAAACAGAAGAACTCTACTTAACTTTTAAAAAAATCCATTTTGAAAGAGAATTTGTTTATAAATACAAACAACAAAACAATTAATGATAAAAAGCATGTAAAGCCTTACATTATAAATATATATTTTGAATATATATACATTTGAAAATACATAAATCTATTAATTTAATGAGATTTCTTATTGAATAATTTATAATATATGTCATAATATTAACTTTATTTTTAAATACTACTATGTTATGTTGAATTTGTTATATAGACATCTTAATTGATCATATCATATATACACGTATTAGGATAGATTAAAAAAGTCGATTTTCAACATTTTAATGAGAACCCTTTTAATTTAATTATATACCTTAAAATAAACATTTTGTAAAAATTTGAGATTTTTGAAAAAAAATTTTACTAGTCATTTAACGTGTTTTTAGTATACTGTCCAAAAATACTATAAAAAACATAAAACGGCCTCTGTTATTCAATTTTTAGTCAAATATTATGATAAATATATATTAAAATAGTTAAATTTTACTGTAGAGTATAAAATGTTTAGTTTTAAAATTTTAAGTAGAAATATTATTGTATTCTTTATCTGTTTTCAAAATAAATCATTTTTATAATTGTTTATTAAATTTTATAAATTAATTAATGGGTACTTACTCAAATTAATAATGTAAATCCATACATATAAAATTTTATTACAAAAAGCTAATAAATTAAATTTAAACATTTTATGCTTTAAATTTATATTAAAATAAATCAAAATATTGTATCTTTCATAATTAATATGAGATGCTAAATTTGATTAATTAAATAAAAATTCAATATTCTTTTTAAACAATTTTAATTTAACATATAATTAGTCTTACATTAGTAAAATAATTAAAAATAACATTTTAGTGAATTTAAATACTTTTAGCTAAGAAAAAAAAATGAAATTATAATTTATGTAATTTAATTATTTTTAGAAATGTGTGGGTTAGTATTATTCCCCCTCTACACTGACATTTATAATACTTTATTTATAATATTACTTTACACTGAACTCATTAAATATGTTGGGATTGAACTAAATAGTTTTTAGATAATTTATATTTATTTATTTTTTTACTAAAGTTTAGTAATTTATTTTATAAGTTACAAGTTTGTGAAGATATTCATAATTTTTTCAGGAGTTTTTTCCTGGTCTTCTTCACACTGTATATGTAATAAGACCTAGCGGTTTTTTGCAAAAAGCTATATCAGAAGTCAGTAATAAGTTTTTCAAGGAAGACTTCAAATTTAAAGTAGTTATTTGTAGTACTATTGAAGAACTACATGATTATGTAGATTTAACTGAACTAACAGTGGAGCTTGGTGGAACATTACCATATTTTCATCAGTACTGGATACAACAAAGAATGGTAACATAGAGTTGAAAACTTTTATTTTATTTTGTAATAAAAATATTACAAATCTTAGAAATTTTTTTTAAAAGATTGAACAAAGGATGATTTTGTGGGAAAATGGTCAAGTAAAAATAACTATTTTTTAAGTGATCAAAAAAATTAAATTTTTTATTAGGTGGTATTAAATGGGATTTTTCAAATAACAAAAAATGACTAAATTGTCTATAAAAATAAAATTGATACTACTATAAGCAATCAAAATTTTCTTTTAAAATTAATAATTATTAACTACATTTGACTTACTCACTTTTTTACAAAAATCGTTCATATACAGTATGATTTATTAACTAAACTACTCTTTTTTTTTATTTTTTGTTAAATAATGATTTTTTTTATAAAAATTTTAGATTAAAATTTGATTAGTTTTTGACATCTTTAACAATTTTAATTTTAGTAAATATTTTGTGTTTTTTTTTTATAATTTTTAAAGTTTTAAACTAATTTATTTGAAGTAATTTGTATATTTATATTATTATTTATTTATATAATTTGCTATTTTAACAAACATCTACAAAAGTTAATACAATATCGTTGTTGATATTATAAAAATTAATATTGTGATATTGAAAAAAATAAAAAAATTTTATTTTTATTTTTATTCCTAATAGTATTAACAATAAAAAAAAACAGTAGCACAATGGGGTTATGGCACAGTATGGATGTGGCATAGTTGGGACATGTATAGATGATATCTGACAGTAATTAAAACCACTATCATAAGAAACGCTTCGATGCAAATCTGTAGATAGTGTTTAATGTACTTTTCTAACTCAACTTTTCTCAATGTTTTCAAATATGCAATTAAACTTTTTCTATCATTTCTAAGTTTTAATATTATTACTTATTATTAAAAAATAAGTATTTACATATAAAAAAATATAATCAAGAACAAAAAAAAATTGTTTTAAATTAATTTTGATTATTAATATGTAAAAAATAATGAAAATTACATATTTAACATATTTTGTTAATCCTTAAAAGTTAATTTTTGTGAAAGTTTATAATAAAAAAAATTAATTTGTTACAATAACTTTTAGCTCATTTTGCAAATTTGAAATTGACATCATTAAAAAAAAAAAATTATGAGAATTAAAAAAATTGTTTTGTTAAGATTAATATGCAGTCAGGAAATTTTATAATTACTATTTATAGGAAATTTATCAGAAAAGCTCAATATTTTTTAAAATTTTTATTGTAATAGTTTACTGAAATAGAGTAATCATTTCCTAGTAACTTTTGGTGTTTAAAAAGATTCTACAATTGAAATATCCAGAAGTTAATTTTAATGATTTACTTTAACTAAAAGAATTAATCAAAACAATGTTGTTAAAAAATTTACTCAATTGAGAGTATTATAAAATTTGATTTTAATTGTAAAAATTCATTATTAATTCAGGAGAAACTAACAATCATTTATTTTTAGAAATGATTTATATAACAACAAATTTGGAATATTATAATCTAGTAGTAGTACACACAAATAGAGTAAAGTATTTTGAAATTACAAAGTAAAATGATTTAATTTTGTAGTTGAAACCTATCATATCAAACTTGATTTGTCAATTAATACTTTCAAATATTAGAAATGAATGATTTTAATTGTTTGTATGAAGAACATGGAACAAATAACTGTTTTATTGATAGATTAGAATTTTTTTTTCAATTTTTGAGGGTAAATCTTCAACTAATTGTAATCATTTGACGTATCGTAGAAAAAAGTAGGTCCAAGTTAGAGCAGAGAAAATAAATAATAGTCACAAAAAATACCCTCTCAAGCTAAAACCTAAAATATAGTAAAATAATTTTAATATGAATAAGAAATTTCTTTTTGAAATTTGATAAAAATCAAATGAGTTAAAAATTTATTCTAACTTAAAAATAATTAAGAAAAAAATGCAAAAAATTCCTTGCCATACATGGAGAGGAACCTTGTACCCCAAGCGCGTTGAGACTCAAGTCTACTACATACAACTGTATGTCGCTTCCGTCGACTAAAAAAATGGCAATTTAAGCTAGTTTGAATTTAAAAGTTATTTTTCTCAACTTAAAAAATGCAAAAAAATTTAAATAAGTTTAACTTTCTATGCTATATTAATTTGATTTGTATAATATTTATGAAAATCAGTGTACTCCTCTTGTCAGGTATTTTAAAATAAAATAAAATACAAAACCCAGAATTTTAACATAAAAATAGCATATTTTTGAATGACTGTAGTGATTTTCACTATGAAGACAAATCCAGAGGTCAAATTTGAAACCCTTTATGTGGGCTGGTAAAGGGTCAAATGTTCACAGAAATAAATCAAAAGATAGGTAAATACCTAAGGTATCTATAAAAAAAAAAATTAAATTGATTCGGTCATTTAAAAAAAAAGTTATAGCAGTTTTAAATAAAAAAAAATTGAAAAAATGTCAAAAATTAGCGATTTTTAAATTTGTAATTTTTTGGGGGATTTCCCCCGTTTACGAAGAACAAGGAAATTTTTTTCAATTTTTGAGGGTAATGTCTTCGACTAGATACGATTTGGGATATTTTACGTATTGTTCATCAAATTCGGTCCAGCAAGAGCTGAGACTGAGCGTTCACAGACCCAAAAAAAAAAAAATAAATAAAAAAAAAAACGCATCATAGTAAAAGTAATACCTTCTCAGCTTCGCATCAAAGCTAAAATAAGCTTTAAATATAGTCTAAGAAGGGAATATATATATATAT